ATGTCATACAGTATATTTGTTTTGTTTTTTTATCCAGGATTTATCGGATTTCTTGCTGCATTTTTCTGTCGTATTGGTTAGTGATATAAGATTTATTTGAAAATTCATCAGATAAATGTCACGTTAATCGCCGAGATAATGTAATGGTCGTGAAAACTAATGTAGGCTTTGTGTGAATTATTATTTATTAGGAAAAATATCTTCAAGCAGACGTGCGAATTCAGAAACAATATCAGTTTGTTGAAGTACTGACTTTTTGTTGTATCGTTGGTGGTGATAATGTCGTATGTTTTCGGTATTTTATTATGTGTTATCTAGTTTGTGATTACGATGTAGCTGAATCCTATAGAATAGTTATATATTATATATATATATATATATATATATATATATATATATATATAGATAGATAGATAGATAGATAGATAATATTAGTGGTCAATATATATATTTATATATGTCTATATAATAAATAAATATATATATATGTGTGTGTGTCTGTCCAGTCGTATTCGAGGATACCCGTCTACTAGGGCGTTTAGCTAATCCCTACTGAAGGCTTTCGCTCAGACACATTTAAGTTTGGTTTACGCCCACAGAGCTCACCTGTGGTTTATACTAGAACTATGCTGAACAGATCTTACTTACAGTTTCTGGGGTAAAGCGTGTTATCTATTTAGAACAATCGAAAAAACACCAGCATACTCAGACCTTCGGTATCGATGACACTTGAATTCGTGCTACCACAGCTATCGACGGCCCCAAGATTTCCGTCTACACAATTTCACACACAAGGTTTTGTTTTCAGGCACTTTGCGAGATATATATATATATATATATATATATATATATATATATATATATCGGAGGCACGGTGGAGTAATGGATAGCGGCTTGGATTGAGGAATCCTCCTCTCCTCCCTCCAGGGTAAATAGCAGGACAGACTGGGTTCTATAGCCTTGGATGGCAACTGGTCTAGGAGAAGGACAACTCTGAATTCAAAATCTGGGGAGGGTCGTTTGGGGACCTTGTGGCACTTAGTGAACCAGGTCTCTGAATTCGCCCTTCAAAAAGTGTGGCTGGTCCTGCACGAAACCTTCACCACTATAATCAAATCTCATGTGCTGTTGTCGGGCAGTCAGTTTCCTGGGAACTGATCTGCTTGACCCTCATGAGAGTCGACTATATATATATATATATATATATATATATATATATATATATATATATCGATCCGTTGGTATATAATCCGGGTGGATCCTAGTAATATTGATTATTAAAACTGATCTACAGAGAGCTCGATGTATTTATTATAACAGAGCATATCTATTTTTTACAGGAAAAAAAACGAAGAAACATGATAGAGTCTATTTCAAGCCGTTCTGTACGCGGCTATCATCATTGTTTTAAATTTATTTTTAGTGTCAGTCCTTCTCTGGTGGACGCCTTGTTAATGAGAATGGGCTTGTGTTAGCGACTGGTGGTCGTCGTAAGTTATCTTATTCCGAGGGAGGCGGTCCGGGGTTTGGAATTTATTTAAGGCCAGAACCTTTTCTTGTTTGTTGCTTAATATCAGTTTCTTATACAAGCCTCAAGTAGGATTTCCTGGGATTCACAGTAAACAGTTTTTGTACCACAGGTGTCCAAAATTATTAATTAGCAATGGGGGACTTAAACTTAACTCGTTAAGATTAATGTAAATTAGTTGAATTATAGATTTATAGAGTTTGGTTAATCCTACAGCACCCAATCATACTGTTCAACACACTTATATGCATACATATCTGATATTACCCACAATCTATAAATCTATAATTCAACTAGACCCTGCACATGTGCAAATGATACGTATACTGGAGCTGCTCTTGAAATGCTCTTCATGCGGTACTCTGAGATAAACGACTTGCGAGAAGCACTTGACGTGTGCTGATACCTGGACAGCCTGTAGAATGTGTTCTTTATGGTCAGACCTACGAGCAAATCTTGGTTTTATCTTGATCCATAGTTTGGGGTGCCACGGATTCTGTCTTGACGATAAACAGCAGTAAAGGTTGGATGACTCGGCAAAAATGATATCTACGTGTTCACGCTATGAATATCCTGCTATACGGAACGCTTCTCAGTTATCTCACTACTGCACACGTTAAACGTTGAAGGCTAGTCACAAATGTACACGAATGACAAATGTAACCTAGTCTATATAGCAGCACAGCACCATCTACCGTAAAATTTCTTTAAACTTCGTAACTCAAAAATGTAGGATTTGCGGACATTTTTTATATATACTATTCTGCTTATCTTTATGTCAGTATGTCGCCCTAATGTTTGTAAAAATATAATTGATACACTCTCCCTCTCTATAGATATATTGTTGTATCGTCGAAGTGAATGATACACAGAGAAGAGTAAGCGCTTAATATATTTATTCAGTGCTAGTATGCGGTGCTAACAGATACATACAAAAAACACAGAACAATAAGTTTCAAAACAATTAACAAAACAACTTACAAGGAATAGATGAGGGTCAAATGCTGTATAGCCAAACGAAGTAAGATCAGTCCGAATATTAATCAGCTTTGTATCAACTTATTAATCAACTGTTGAAGTCCTTAATTTTAGCCTATGACCCAGGCCATCTGGTAGAATGCTGAAGGATTTCTAGCCCCTCTACAACACATACACACTCACAAACACACACGCATATATGTTTCAATGCTTCAATAGGCCTGAGTTTGTTGTTGCTCAGTGTCCAATTTTATGTGCTCTTTTACGGATTCTTAGGTCTTTAACCCATAAATATAGCATACCTTAGAGCTTTTTATCATATATATATATATATATATATATATATATATATATATATATATATATATATATATATAAAGGAACATTGATGTCAACACTTAGAGGCAACAAGCTGTTTCATGCTAGGCGCAATCGTCAGGCCTGACGATTGCGCCTAGCATGAAACAGCTTGTCGCCTTTAAGTGTTGACTTCAATGTTTATTTTTATATTCACACAAGCTACATATTGAGCACTTTATCCCATAAATATACCACACCTTAAGAGTATATTTCTTTATATATATATATATGTGTGTGTGTGTGTGTGTGTGTGTGAAAAATATATAGAAAATAGGAAAGAACTCGTTAGGTAAATAATCCAAAGATCTTTAGTATTTTTGTTATTATTTTTTAAAAATAGTGCTCGATACAAAAGTAGAGCATAAATATAATTATTTATTTAAAAATATGGTTCCAACACGCTACATAAGAGTTCTCATGTTTCAAAACAAGAGCCGAAAACTTCAATATAATTATTTTAATTAAATTGAATTAAAGTACTAAGCTCTGGTCCATCTTCAAGTGAAATTTTTTGGGAATAATTTATTTCTGAAATGTATGCGTTTTAAAAGTATATTAATTATTGAAATCAACATTTCTATGGTAACGGCTAGAGCAATCGTTTAAAGAAAAGGGACGTAAGGTGTTAATAATGTGTATCAATATCTCAGTTACATTCACAGGTGTCTAAATTTAAAGCGGAAGATGACATCGTATTGGTAACGAGGTTGGACCAAGAATTTTGGAGAAGTTCTCGGATATAATTATATACCGATCATGCGCAGTATTCTATTTCGTATGGTTTCACCAGGAACATAACTCCATCATGTTACTTGCTTCATAATGTCCCTGCTTGTTTCTTAATTCATAGACTCCAGTTTAAATTCATGTCACTTAGAATTTGTGTGATATATTTTTGCTACATATACCTTGCCTCATCCTGGGCACCTCGTTGTATAATGGTAAGCAAGCTTGTCTTGCTAGAACATTTAAGACTCAGTAGTGAATTCGATCGTCAGTTGGTGCCCCATATCTTCGGCCTTGTGCCACATCTAAGCTACGCTTGGAAAATCGCTATACCTCGCCTCATTTTATAGTCGTAAATTTTTTTCTTTTCTTTCTATTTTGAGATTAAATTATCAACATCCACATTTAAGTATGTTAACAAAATATTTGTTTAATCCGAAAATATTTTCAATTTTTCATTTCTTCCCCATTTTTCATTAAAGGAAAACTATTCATCCGGAAATAAATTTAATAAGAATTGATGAAACTGAAATTTTAGGTTTGATTTTATGCCGTAATTTACTTTAATAGTTATTCCCAAACAAGCATGAAACAGACTGATGTTGACCTCAGTGTCCATATATATATATATGTGTGTGTGTGTGTGTGTGTTTCCGTCGTTTCGCAAGGATGTATTGCCCTACATTAAATTGAGTAATTTAGTATATGAGTTTAATTGCCAGTGTGCTGCTGGTTATGGTGGGGCGTACAACCTTGCATTTGGAAACTAGAATCAATCAGCATGTACCTTCCAAAATACGACTTGGTAAGATAGATAAAATATGCTATCTTCCCCCCATGAATATGGAATCGGCTATTGCTCAACATTTAGTTGAGAATATAGCCTGTGCCAAGTCGTATAAAAAAGAGTGGTTTAAAATTATTCATACAGCCGATTCCAACAATCATTTGAAGATTTTGGAATCGGTCTGCATCGGATTAAGGAAACCTTCTCTCTGCGAGCAGAAAGAATTTGTAAAGTCTCTTAATCTGTTGGGGGATATTTTATTTTAACTGTCCCTCGCTAATTTTATTTACACGTTATTTCCCCTCCCCTCGTTACAAGTATATACACTTGTTTGTTATTTTAGTGTGCCCCCCCTTTTTTTGCTCTTCATTGTCGTTAATATTCTTTTCCTTGATTAATTATCCAACGATTTTCTCCTGATGAGATGTTGGTTGAAAGGGCCTTAGAGACTTTTAAAATTAAATCAATACATTCCTTGTTTTTAAAACTATATATATATATATATATATATATATATATATATATATATATATCAGACTGTTTTGCTGTATGTGTGTGTGAGTGTGCGTGTTTGTTGTAGCTTGCGAGCACCCCTTCAACACTCTACCAGATGGCCTGGTCTCATAGCCTTATATAATCTACGATTAAGGACTTCAACTGTTGATTAATAAGTTGATACTAAGGTAATTAATATTCGCACTGACCTTACTTCGTTTGGCTATACAGCATTTGACCCTCTTTTATTCCTTGTAAGTTGTCTTGTTTTGTAATCTATTGTTCTGTGTTTTTGTATGTATGCGTTAACACTGGCTACTGGTGCCGAATAAATATATTAAGCACACATTCTTCTCTGTGTATCGTTCACCTCGACGTTTAAGTCTCCATTCTTCAAATTTTTATCAAACGTTGAAGAACACACACACACTCGCGCACGCGCACGCGCTTGCGCACAAACACAGCAGATGTCTGGAAGTTGACATCAAATATACACACATCAAACATTATCTAAATGTTCGACTCTGTATTCAGTTTAAGTTTTCATTCTGTCCTTTTCTTACAAAATCGGACATTTAAATGTTTAATTTGTGATGTGTATATATTTGACGTCAGCTTCCAAACTCTATGTGAGTGCCTGGTCTATGTGTATGTGTGTGTCTAGTCTGTGTGTTTGTGTTCGTGTGTTTGTTTTTCTGTGTTGAAGAGGAGACAGATGTTCAGACGGAATTATAAATTTGTGATGAACTGATTATAATTGTGCTCCCAGGATTTGTTTCGCAAACGTTTGTCGCTCTTCTAGCTCAAACAAGATCCTCTACTGACTGGACCTTGCGCCAAAATAACGCGAAATTCAAAACTATACATACATAATTTCAATAAATATCCCGAAGTATATTCACTAAGCTTAAGATTTTTTTTTAATTCAATTATAATTTTATTCTTGATGTACGGTTACAATATTTTCCATTCAATTTGTATTGAAAATATGTTATTTTTAAAAAGTTTTTGCTTCCAATCAAATCAAGATAGATAGATAGATAGATAGATAGATAGATAGATAGATAGATTGGTTTAGTTTGTTTTACGGCATATCAACATCAATGAGTTATTCAACACCGACAACATTTATTTTGCTGGTAATATTTTGTTTTTGTCAATATTCTGGTAATATTTTTCCTTCAAAAGTATATTGCTGGTAATAGTTTCTTTTTCTACTAAACTTTATTGCTGGTAATAATTTTTTACGAAGTATTTTTGGTATTAAAACCTATTTTTACACTTTCCTAGTGTTTTTATCACAGTTTCGGGGTTAACTATTTGCCCATAGCTGAGACTCTAAGAGGTGCTACCATCATGGGTAAAGGTGGACCTGGGAACACCAGCAATTAAGAGGTGGGTCCACGCTCCTCAAAACCTCCTGATCAGAGGCCTTGCTGTTGGACGTAGTTTATCGTCTTAAACAGAACGCGGATGTAGTTTATCGTCTTACCCAGGACGAAGATTAACAGACTGAGACAGATAGATATGAAGAGACTGGGATAGATAGATAGATAGATAGATAGATAGATAGATAGATGAACAGAATGAGATAGATAGATAGATAGATAGATAGATAGATAGATAGATAGATAGATAGATGAACAGAATGAGATAGATAGATAGATAGAATGAGATAGATAGATAGATAGATAGATAATGAAAGAAACATAGATGAACAGAATGAGATAGATAAACAGAATGAGATAGATAGATAGATAGATAAACAGAATGAGATAGATAGATAAACAGAATGAGATAAATAGATAGATAGATAGATAGATAGATTAACAGAATGAGATAGATAGATAGATAGAAACATAGATGAACAGAATGAGATAGATAGATAGAAACATAGATGAACAGAATGAGATAGATAGATAGATAGATAAACAGAATGAGATAGATAGATAGATAAATAGAATGAGATAGATAGATAGATAGATAGAATGAGATAGATAGATAGATAGATAGAATGAGATAGATAGATAGATAGATTAACAGAATGAGATAGATAGATAGATAGATAGATAGATAGATTAACAGAATGAGATAGATAGATAGATAGATAGATTAACAGAATGAGATAGATAGATAGATAGAAAGAAAGAAAGAAAGAAACATAGATGAACAGAATGAGATAGATAGATAGATTAACAGAATGAGATAGATAGATAGATTAACAGAATGAGATAGATAGATAGATAGATAGAAAGAAAGAAAGAAAGAAACATAGATGAACAGAATGAGATAGATAGATAGATAGATAGAAAGAAAGAAAGAAAGAAACATAGATGAACAGAATGAGATAGATAGATAGATAGATAGAAAGAAAGAAAGAAAGAAACATAGATGAACAGAATGAGATAGATAGATAGATAGATAGATAGATAGATAGATAGATAGATAGATTAACAGAATGAGATAGATAGATAGATAGAAACATAGATGAACAGAATGAGATAGATAGATAGATTAACAGAATGAGATAGATAGATAGATTAACAGAATGAGATAGATAGATAGATAGATAGATAGAAAGAAAGAAAGAAAGAAACATAGATGAACAGAATGAGATAGATAGATAGATAGATAGATAGATAGATAGATAGATAGATAGATGTGAGAAGAAAAACGCAAGTAACTTCCCTTACGTGCTTATGCAAAAGGATGACAGCAGATGGAACAGGAGTGATGGTAAAAGACTAACATTTCTACCGTATTATCTTGTTTATGTTTTGAACAAAAGTTAAAGGCAAAAACTGTCGTATCATTCATATTTTTCAGAAATTTTTATTTAGTTTTAAAAAATATCAAAAATATATTGAAACAGCAAGATTGCATATACGTTCAGTTTGGTTCCCAATATAAACATTGTTTAAATTTTTATTTTCTTTATTTTATAAAGTTGTCTGCCTTTATAATTAATGAAAGACATTTTCTTTTTATTTTCATAGTTCATTAATATATATAAAAATATAATAAAGTCATATCAAACAGTATATAGTAAGATAGATAAATAAACACCTTAAAATATATTAACGGGTAGGTCTAGTTTGGAACTCTACTCGAAAATTCGAAAAAGATTTTTCACTGAGTCGTGCTAGACAATTTGTCTCTCCAGAATCTATCTTACATATTTATAAGTCTACCATTCATCCATGCTTCGAATATTGCTGTCACATATGTTCGGTTACTCCTATATATTTAGAGATTTTTTTTATAAATCCCAAAGAAGAATCTGCAATGTTATTCGTCCTGACTTGACATCCCGGCTTCAGTCACCTTCGTACAGCCGTAACGTAGATTCCCTTTGCTGTTTCTATTTCTTCATGGTAATAACTCTGAAGATTTTTGCTCTATGGTACATAGACTTTAACGATTTCCGCGCAGTACTAGATTGCCAACGTCTCAACATTTTACAGTTGAATCGACTAGATACAACCGTAAGTTCTTTGCTAACAGTTTATTTTCTCGCACCTCTCGTTTGTGGAACTCTCTTCCGGCTACATGCTTTCCAGCCATCTTTGATCTTCAAAAGTTTAAATGCAATGTCAAACGTTATCCACTGTCTTCTTGATTCATCTTTTTTATTGTTCTCGCTCCCAAGTAATGTTTTTTTTTTTTCTTTTTGACCATATGCTTTCCAGCCATCTTTGATCTTCCAAATACAATATCAATCGTTATCTACTGTGTTCTTGATTCCTCTTCTTTTATTGTTCTCGCTCCTAAGAAGTTTTTCTTTTTCTTTTGGCTATATGATTTCCGGCCATCTTTGATCTTCAAAAGTTTAAATGCAATGTCAATTGTTACCTACTGTCTTCTTGGATCCTCTTCTTTTATTTTTCTCGCTCCCAAATAATGTTTTTCTTCTTTTATTTTTCTTTCACACTCAGTGACTCCTTGTGTCTTATTGACTTTATTGATTTGACTGGGATGAAATTATAAAAAAAAAGTTTTGAAACAGAAATTAGGAGAAGAATTACAAAATGGCTAAACACCCCGCTTATCTCAATTCTTAATACCGTGAAAAATTAAATATTTTAGTGAAATATATGTACAACATTTAGATTTTAATAGATAAGATGGCACAAATTTTCAAATGCAATTCACATAGGGATGGTCGCTCTACGGGGGTCGTATCATACTCAAGTCTTAATATACACAAGAAAATACAGTAAGTCCTACAAAGAAAAGGGTGTTGGGGAGGACCATGATTTCCCGTGTCATTAAGGGGTGAAGAATACGAGGGAAATTATAGAAAGCTATGATCGTCTACATTCTGAAAGGAGATTTTTAGAAACTATTTAATATATATTTTATGCAGGAAAATCTTTCCTCCATTTTAAATTCTTTCATTTTCATATTTTCCCGCCTCATTCACCCTCACCCCACGATGCGAATGCTGCTGATTTGAATACTTTTTCGGAATTCCACTCTCATACTGCAACCACAATCACCAAATTCAGTTGCAACTACGACAGTTTCCCTTGCTACCAACACAACGACCAATGTGATGATTTCACGTCTTACCTCACAACCCCTTTACAGTCTCTTCTTTCTACCACTACCCACGTCATCGTTATAAAATGACTATCATTTATCTAACTGCTGCTGCTGCTACTTGTTGGATTTTTTTTTTATTTTATTTATTTCTTTTTTGTCATATAATAAATTACCCACCTGCTTCGTTCAGTTTTATCTAAAGGTTTCCTAAAAGCTACATCGTCTTCAGGAGCAGCGTCCTACGATATGCCTAATTCGACAAAGATTTTATTTTCCATTTTAATTTCTCGTTTTTTGTTTTAAGTGGGAAATTATTCAACTCATCTCTTAAAGAAAAAAAAAATAAGAAAAGAAAAGAGAGAAAAAAAAATTGCCTCTTCTTCTCAGTCAGATGAAACATCTAAAAAGCAAACGCTCAATAAGAATTCTTTTTTTATTTCGTCCCGAAGCAAACGAACCTACCCCGTGACGCAAAGTTTGTTTTTTTTTTTTTTTTTTTTTGTTATCCGCCACTTAAAAGCTTAAACGACTCAACCCGCTAAAAAGAAAAAAAAAAAAGGAAGAAAAAAAAAGAAGGAAGA